CCTCACCAATATGGTTTCATTTTATGACAGGGTAACAAAATGCTTAGATGCAGGAGCAGAGGTGGATGTCATTTTCTTGGACTTTAGCAAGGCCTTTGATATGGTATCTCATCCTATTCTCATAAATAAATTAAGAGGCTGTGACATAGATGATTACATGATCATCATCTATGGTGGGTGGCAAATTGGTGCATGGCAAATTGGCTTAGTGATCACACCCAGAGAGTGGTAGTAGATGGGTCGGTATTGACCTGGAAGGATGTGGGTAGTGAGGTCTCGCAGAGTTCGGTCCTTGGTCCTGTACTCTTTAATATCTTCATCAGTGACTTGGATGTGGGTATGAAGTGTACTCTATCCAAGTTTGTGGATGATACTAAATTGTGGGATGAAGTGCACACTCCGGAGGGTAGGGGACGATTGCAGGCAGGCATGGGCAGGGCTAGGCAGGGGGGCAGACTCAATGATCTTTTGAGGTCCCTTCCAACCCTAGCATCTATAAATCTATGTTTCTAGCTTGGTCCTATCAACTCCCAAGTTCTGTAATTTATCAGCAAGTGAAAACCATGAACAGCCAATAGGAGCATCTCTATTTCCTTTATTTTTCATTCAGCTAATTTATGTAACCAATAGATAACATTTATGTAACTGGGAGAATACTGAATTAAGTGTGTGTGTGTGTGTGTGTGTGTGTGTGTGTGTACATATGTAATTATGTGTGACTGGGTATATAAATAAAAATCTATTTGCTTCTCAATTGCTAGCATTTTGGTTCAGCTGCAGTAGTCACTATCATGGCTGCTTTAAAATTGATTAGACAATTTAACTTGAAATTTAACTCTGGATATGGCAGAGAGAGATAAGCCTGTGAATAGAAGCATAAAGCATTAATCTTTTGGTTCTCCAATTGATCTCAATGAAGCTGGCATTTCATGTTTATTCTGGAGCTTTGAGAACTAAAGCCTTATAGTCAATGTGTGAACAGCACAAAGATAAGTGATTTCTTCAGCTTCTGATTAGAAAGGTCAAGAATCACCTGATCTTTACCTATTAAATAAGTGACTCAGACTTTTGTAGAAAGCAGGGGGTTCTGGAATACATGGAAGGACGTATGCCATTATTTAATATTGACAATAATTGGTTGTTAGTCCTTTCTCCATTTGGGGTTGAAGGAGTTGTGACATGTTTTTTCACACCCTCCCTTTGTTGTTTCTTGCTCTGGAGTAGCATGAAAATGCATGTATCCCTTGTGTATCATATTTTCTTGCATATAACCCACACCTTTTTTCCAAAAAACACAAGTTGCTAGAAATCTAGTTGCACATTATTTGTGGTGAAGTACACCAATGCCATTTAGCTGCCAGCCAAGATGGGGAGTGGTGACTAGCCATAGGCACCCTGGGGGGGATCCCACACTGCAAGACTGCTGAGGTATATCTGTCCCCAGCTGGAGTTGTAGCCAGCTCATAGCAGGCTGGGTCAGAGAGCAAGCTATCTGTTCTTGGCCAGGCTGCTGCAGACTCTTCCTCCAGCAGTCACATAATATGTAGTCCCCACTTCCCTCCCCCTTCTCACTCTGCCCAGGGCACCACATAGGGGCTTTGCAAATGCCTCATATTCCTTATTGCAATATTGTGGTGTGTAGCTATCAGTCAAATACCAGCAGCTGCTAGGATGTTAGTGGAGCAGTGATAGGCTCTCCCAACCCTTTGCATTGCTGGCTACATGCCACAATATTTTAATGAGGGATGAGGGATGCACAAAGCTCATGTGTGGTTTTTTTGCATTTTATAACTTGTTCTTTGTAAAGGTTGCTGCTTTTTATAAGTTGTTATATTAAATTACTTTGTATTTGCAAGGAAAAGGTTTTTTCCCCCTTCATTCCACCTTCCTAAAACAAAGTGTGTATTATATTTGGGTACATATTATAGGAGAGAAAATATAGTAATTTATTTCTTACTGCCAATGGACAAGTAATGCAAAAATGAGAATCAAACTGGAAATATGCCAGCTAGTATATGTAAGGGAAAATAAACATAAATATTGAATAGGATGGAGATACTAGGAAACTAGAAATTCTCACAAAGACCAAGGGATATAGTAGATAGCAAATTGAATATGAGCTTGCAGTGCAAATATCACATCATAGACCAAGGAGGGTAAAATCATTTATCTGTAGCTGCACCTGAATAGTGTGTATATTTCTGAAATGGCATTTTGAAAAATATACTACCAAATCAGAAGGGATCTGAACAGTAATAAGAATTAAAGAGATGAAATAACTGACTGAAAAGGAGGACATGAATGTGCTAAATAAGATGATGATCATGGGAGTAAGTATATGGGTATAGTCCATTTGAAAGACTAGCCTAGGTCTGAATTTTTTAATGACAGCTGTGTGAGAGAGGCATATACACACGTGCTGTTTATGTCTGGTAAGGAGATGATTTTCTTAGGGTGAAACAAAAAGTTTTTTTCTGAGAAATCAAACGATGAAACTGCAAAAAGGACATTTACCCAACAATGAAGTTTTTAAACCAGTGGCAGGAAAAATATAGCCACCGGGCTGGAACTGACCCATCAGGCCATCCTATTCAGCCTGTGGGGCCCCTCCAAAAGACAATTATTACTGGCCTGTGGCTGCCTCTCTGAAAGCCAGTGGGAGGTGTGGCCTTTCAGAGGTCACATGCCACTGGGCCAGGCTGGGTGGGCTCTGTGCCACCACATGTGGCTCCCGGCACTCCATCTGGGAGCTGTGTGCCTATGGACCAAGCCAGGTTGATTCCATACCACCACATGGAGCTCTGGAACTCAGCCAGAACTCTGCTGGGGGCCCCTTGCCTGCTGTTAAGCATCTGGGGGCCACCTCCCCCCATCCTTTCACAAACCCTACCCCCCCACGCACAACCCTCAGACCCCATACCCCCCACACACCCACACACCCCCATATACTCCTCCACACCCTTCCACAAACCCCACATCTACAGCTCCCCACACAAACACACACCCCCACACACAATTTCAATCGTAAATCTTTATTTCAAGTTATTTTATTATGCAGTCATCTCTCTGTACACTACACAAACGCACATAAATCAGGTCAAAATATTTTTTTTAATAAAATTAAAATGTTATTTTAGATGTTTGGGAGGTGGTCAACCTCCCAGCCTGGGGCTGCTCTAACGTGGCTCAACATGCTGCAGAGGGGCTGGCTGTGCGGGGATAACCGGCAGACAGTACCCACACAGTAGCACCCTCATGCCCCAGCCAGCCCCATCAGTGTGCAGTGCTGCAAAATAAATAACTCCACTGCAGGATAATACTTTTATTTACAAGTACTACGCTGCTGCAGAGTTTATTAGTTTCCTGCAGCCTAATAGGGCTGCATGTGTAGACAGTGAAGTGTTTACTGCAGAGCTAATTAGCCTATTCCACAATAAACATCTCATGTAGACATGCCCAATCAATGCTAAAATCTATATAGGATGCTGTCAAAATGTCATTTTACCTGTAAACTATATTTAAGAAACTGTATTTGATCATCTCATACCTTAAAGGATGTTAGCTTGTTGTGATTAACTCTTTGGAATCAACCTAGAATCAGTCGTGACCAGGTAACATACCATCCTTTAAGCACCACTGTTTTCCCCTATACAAACTGGCATCTAAAAACCTCATTTTCTTAATCTAGGCAAGGTCTAGAAGCTTTTCCTCTAACACTCATCTTGTTTTCATTGGTATTTTCTAGCCTCTTACCTCTCTCCCTGTTTTTATCGATGCTTCCCTCATTTTCCTTGTGAGCCATCTCACCTCTCTATTTATCCTTGTCACTGCTTGCTGTATTCTGTCTTCCACCCACTCAGTTCTCTGTTTTTCCTGACCCTCCAGTATTATTTGTTTGTATTTCCCCTATCCTTCTACACAGTTCAGGTCTGACAAAGATTGCGTCATTCTTCTGTATTTAATGTTTGCTGGAGGCAATGCTACTGGGAAGTCCTAAATATGTAGGAGTTCAGGGGAATACCTCATTTTAGCATGAGCTGCTGCAATATACGACTATTACAGTAGGACAAATTTAAAAATCAGCCCTCTTTTTGTTTGTTGTTCAGTGTAATTTAACCAAATTATCATAGTACAGGTCAGTTGCATCATACGTGCATTTAACTTACGCGAATTCAATTATACGTGGGGTGGGAGGGGGGGCAAGGCTTGAGTCTGCACGCGATGCTGCCGCTTACCTGGAGGCCCATTATGGCGGGGACGGCCCCCGCCCCCCAAACCTCCCACCGTCCCCCA